CTAAACAAACGCTATAGCAACGAACGTCAATAATACTCCGACCGCAGATCAATTACTCACTATCTATCTACCCACCTCACATTCCCATCTTTATATATACCAGCCCACCCTACATCGAGCAATTACTAGAGCATTCCCGAAAGAACAAGATAATTCTAGAAACGTTGCGTCACGTGGTCATGTGACTCGCTGACGCAACAATATTATCTTTATTTCATAATAACCCTAATCACTCAATAAAATGAAAAGTTGTTGGGAAGCATAATTTAAAAGTAGAATATTGAAAATATGGAATTACATGTGTTTTATTTATATTTTATCATGAAGACTCAAGGATTTAGGTTTTATGTGATTAAACTATAATAAAGCCAAATGCACTTAAACCATACATAAAAAGGTATTTGTTTAAAAATCATTATCTGTACTGTTTTTATTGCAGAATGAAAACAATTTTGGTGAAATAGTGACGTTAAAAGCAAAAGATGATGATAAAGCACCAATCAACAAGATTACAAAGATCTATATCAAAGTAAGTAATTTTTGAATAAAAGATGTGTTTAAAATTCACTTTAATTTATTAATGTATTTTTTTTTACTTTCCTTTGGAGCTCTAATCAATAATGTTTAGAATGCTAACTTCCCATTCAGCATTATCTTTGCTAGATGGATTGGCTTCTTGATGCTGGGTTTAGCATTTGTTTCTAAAGCTGGTAGGTTCTTGAAGAACTAGTAAGGGTTAAAAAAATGTTGTGATTATTATGATTTATATGTCTTAGATTGTAAACAACATTAGCAGTAACTGATTCCTAACAGTATTATTATCCTAAAAAACCTGTTGTTATGAATCTGCTCATAATTCATGACAGTTATTAAATTTGTTTAAATATGCATAGGAAATGTATACATTATTTGTAACGAGATGTTGAAATTGCTTCTTAATTACAAGTACTCTGTTATTACATCCATATTTAACTCCAAATACTGATCTTAACATATTTTATTCAAATGTTTTTTTGTGACATGAGCATGTGGTAAAATTATTAAATCATTTAGGAATATTTTGCTAGAGACTTCCTTTGCCAGAGATTTTCTCTGTTATGTATTTAGATCTGCAATCAGATGATAGCAATTAATTAAATTACCAATTTCTAGAAAATCTAAAAAGTGTTTAGCATACATATATTGTCACATCAAAAGTTTCTTGTAATGTAAATTACAAACAAGGAAACCAAATGTTTTCAGGAAGCCAAGCTATTCTCAAGCTTTTAATGTCTCTACTTTGAGCTTTTTCATGCCATGTGTAATACATCATACATTTTAACATCATTATGTGGTCTTTCAAACATTATCTAAAAACATCATCAGTGGTGATATTTATTTGCATCAAAAGTTCCTTTTTTGGTGACAATTAGGTATTTTAAGTAATGTGTAGACCAAGCAGACTACAATATTTCAGTATTTAATTGATTTTTGATTTTTTTTTTGCTAGTAATGAAATAAACTCATAAGATGCATGATTTGAAACTTTAGGTTATTATAACAAATCAGAATATTAATAAATCTTATGACTGTCCACCTAGTTCTTTACACATTTTTTTCACTAATTTCAAAGGAAACACCTGCTCTAAACAGTCGTTGTCATCTGAATTGGTGCTTGCAGAAAGCATAGTTTGCATTTGCACTCCAAAATCACCAGTTACAGCAATCAGAAATAAATGTAGAGCAATCTTTCTTGACCAAAATCTTTTCTCGTGCTTTACCAGTTCAGATAACAGAGCTGAAATTCCAAACTGTTACCTAATTCTTTGTGGTGTAATAAATTTTTAAGGAAACAGTTGCAAATGGAGAAGCCCATTATGTTGCAGAAGTACAAAATTTAAGAGTTATGAAAAAATACATCACAAAATATGACTTGCCACGGTAATGAATGCAACTACTTCTGAAAGATTGAGAGGGGTAATTATGATTCCCTCCCAAATATAGAAAGAATCAAGCCCAGTGTATACTTATGTTATGTAAGTGAATAGCTTGCCTTTAAACAGTATACTTTTCTCACTATTATCATTTAGTCACAATAATTTAAAACTGTCATATGAAATGTGTTTCAATATAGAATTTTTATCAAGTTCAAAGTCATCAATTACAATTTACCATTATTTAATATTCAAAATGTTTTATTAATAATATATTCATAATCATATCATTATATTAATTAAATGTCTAAATAATAATGAGTAGGTTAATTTTCATACAATACATGGAAAAATATTTTCCATCATTTTTTATTTTACTTTTCAACTAAAAGATTTTTTTGCCCTTTTTTTCCTTTCATTTTCAGTCTAAGTGAATAACTTCTTTCTTTACATAATTTTGGATTCAGGCTCCAAATACAGTATTGTGGCATGTTATTACATGAAAGTACTTATCAGAATTCTTATCATTTTCAGGATGATGGTTCACTGGATGATAAGTTTGAACTTGAATGGAAAGAACGCCCTGATGAGGCATCAGTGGTTCTTAAGAATTCTCTGGATTATGAGACAAAACAGTTCTATCGAATTGAAGTCGTTGCAGAGGTGATGACTTATGATATACATTTATAATATTTTTTGTTTAATCTTTTTTTTCTTTTGAGTATAGTAGGTTTTAAACTAAATCTAATTTCTATTGATTACTTTTTATGGCATTTTTTGATGTGAAATTGCTGACTGATAAAAAAATTATGAACGTTTAAAATCAAATCCCTCCTTTGTAATAATGTTAAAAGAAAATTGTGATCATGCACTTACTTTTAGATTCTATTTAAAATACATTGATTTCAACAGCTTTACTAGATTTTTCTAGATATGACTGTTATACATTAATTTGCAGTGTATTACTTGTGGGATCAGGGCTGGCTCTAGGCAGGTACTAGGGTGGACCTAGTAGTTTATTATCAGTTTTAAAAACATATGATTTTTCAAATCACTAAAAAGTCAAGAAAAGCTCCACTGTCCCCCCTGCAAGGGGGAGGAGCTGGAGTTGAGCCTGTAATGGAGCTATGTAATAATCATTTAAAGTGTCGTTATCTATAGCATTACCATGATGGAAGCATGTTGCATTCTGTGGAAGGGTGGTGTTTCCAGACTGTAGTCCATAAGCTACCTCCAGTAGTCCAGTGACTGGTTTCATAATTGTGAAAGGAAGAGTTTGTAAGTCCCAGAGTAACTCTGACACTTGAGATCTTACAAATTCGGGTATATAACATGGAAGAATATGCATAAATTAAGGGAAAGTGTCTAAAACAAAATATTACAATATTGTTAAAAACTTAATTTAAAAAGAGGGAGTGGGGATCTTCCAAAAAATACAGGAACAAGATAGGTAGCTTAAAGCAGAAATGCTGTTACCAAAACACTAAAAAACAAACTCATGGTTTGAGGCATAGTGTTGACATTATATCCTCAAGCTACAAGTCCCTATTTTGACTTCGTATCTAAAAGCTGTAATATTTAGGAGCCTCAAAATAGGGTTTGTAGCTTGAGGAAATAATGTCAACTATGTCTCAGACCTTAAACTTATTTGTTTAATGTTTTGGCGATTACACTTTCACTTTAAGCTACCTATCTTGTTTCTGTATTTTTTGAAGATCTTTATTCCCCTTTTTTAAATTAAAAATTTTTAATAATTTGTTTCTTTAGTTTTTCTTATGTCCATAATGGGCATAAATCTGTATAATTGCAATACTGACCTATTTGAAACAGTTTAGTTTAATGAAATATGTAGTTGGTGTATGATGCTCTCTTGAGAAACAGTGACAACCTTTGGATTGGATTCATCCAGACTGAATGACTATTGCTCCTGATATCATTGCCAAAATGTTATCATTGATAGTGGTACTGCATGTATAATCACTATGATGCACAGTGATCAACATACCTTATGTTATGTACATGCTTGTAAAATGTGTAAGCTACTATATTTATACTCTGTAGCTATATAGGGAGTTTGTAAATACTGGGTTGGAGAGACTACTGAACTATACTGGAATGGATTTTGTAATCACGAGTTTTATTTATGCATGCAATGCATGTTTGCTAGTATTTATATAGATACACATACAAGATTTATAGTTTTTTTAAGTTGTAAAGCCATATAAATAGATAGGTCTATGAATTTTTTACGTTGTGTAGATGTATGCATATATATTCAATGCAAACAGAAGACAATATGTCATAATACAATATCACATGTATGAAAATATACTTTTTGAATATTTCTTATAGTTGTTATATTTCCCCCTTCCTCTTCATCCTCCTTTTATCTGCTAACCATACTAAGGCTGGTTACGGTTTTGCTGCAGTTGATCAGATTTCCTCTTCAAATAACATTCTGCTCACCCTACAAGGTTGAAAATATGTTAATTAACAATTATGAATTCAATATAGTAATATACCTTTTCCTCCCCTCCAGTTATCATGGAGTTTGGGTTGTGACACTTCTATGACCCTCTTCCACTGTGACAACTCTAAACTCTGGTGGGCCATCACTGCTGCATACTTTATCTGAAACTAAATATTTTCTAAGTAAAATACACAGCCAGGAAATTTCTCCCTCAGTTTTACCTAGAATTGCCATAATTTTCACAATATCCTACTTTCATGATTCTTCCACTCCTTATAATCAGCTTCAAGGATGACTGCTCTATCTAAAGTATCTATAAAATTCTCAACCTCACAGTGTTGGCTGATGATAATTGCCGATCTGATTCTCGAAACTGAGCTTGGTGCTATCTTTTAAATTACAGCTTAAAGATTTCTGTTGTGGGAGACAGCCTAGACATTTGTATAACATTATAGATGTTTGTGTAACATGGCCCTAATCCATGTAGTGGTAATAAAAACTGTTATCCTGTCAGCAGTGTCATATCCTAAAGAGAAGGAACCCTATACATACACAAATGTATGCATCATCAATACAGTTGTAACAATAAGTTAGTAATCACTGTGGTACAAGTGTCATGCTTGCCATATAAACATTATATGGCATCCATGGCCAGCATGTAGCTATTTACATATGCATGTATATTATGAGACTCCATATAAACCACAGACTAAATTCAAATGATTGGGTGTTAACAGTTATACAGCTGCTGTTATTTACTAGGTAGTCAAATAAACATAAAAACTACCCTACACAATGTGCAATGATGCATTTAGTAATATTACCTAGGTTTTATTACAATGCACACAGCTGCTTTTGCTGTAGGCTGGCAGAACAATATTAAATAACAATAAAGAAGAACAAATGGGCAACCCTTATTATGAACCACTACCATAGTTCATGATATGGCTTTTGGGTTAAAGTGGGAAAATGTATTTTTTACTATGAAGATTTGGGTTATGGTAGAATAATGACTTGTCTGCTTGTTTCTCTATGAAAGAAGCATGCTTGTTGGAGCTATCTTGTAGTTAATATTAAGAGCAGAGTTTAAAAGAAATCTATTGTCAGAGTTTTGCATTCAGAGAACTGGAAAATACCCAGAATACAGACAATGCAGTTCATTTTATGATGTCATTTGATCATACATACTTGTGGGAGAAGGGGTTCATATTCATAACATAGTAGACTTTAAGTACTTGTTTTGTTCTGTTAAGTTACACTGTTATTATTTGCTTTTTTGATTTCTCCCCTCCACCAAGTTTAGACGGTCCATCAATAAAAAAAGTTTGAGAACCACTGTTGTAGAATGTTACTGTACTGGAGCTTTGTGTTAGTTATTTAAGAGTGTGATTTTGTCTAGGTTATTACTGTAATGCAACCATATAATAATCTATGGAAGTGTGGTATTGTCTATAGTATTACTTCAATGGAACTATATAGTTGTCTGTGGAAGCATGGTATTGTCTACACTATTGAAATGTGGGAACAGTGTATGGGAATGGGTTGCCTTTGGATGTTGTGGAAGCAGTAAATTTATGTGAATGATAAGGGCTGGCTTTGAGAGTTTTGTTTTTAAATAGTTTTAGTTTAGTTTAGTGGACGAGACAACCTAGATTGACCAATAGGTCTCTTGTTGCTCCTAAATATTATGTTAAGTTACCATAATGGAACCTGTGTGGTATTGTCTACAGTATTACAATAATGGATCCATGTTGTAGTCTGTGGAAGTCTTGTACTGTCTCAGTATTACTATAATGGAACTGAGTAGTAGTCTGTTGAAGTGAAGCATTGTCTATAGTATTGCCATACTACTGGAACATTGAAATTATCCAAACTATAACGAAACTGATGTCCACATACAACTTATGGAAGTGTGACATTGTCCAAAGCATTGTATATATTTTAAAGGTAGATGTAGGGATTTTTTATTTGCTGGTTAATATACTGATTCTCTAAACAATACTTCCAAATGATTAAATATCCATTAAAGCATATCTATTTATGCTCTGGAATCAAGATAATCTAAACAAATTCCAGATATTTGTACTATGAAGGTTGAGAGGAAGAGGGAACAAGCGTGAATAGACTGATGGTATCTTAGATGGTAAAATATAGCTTTGTAAGCTAGTATGGTATATCTCAAACTACTGTTTATCCTATAGGTTATTACAACTTGACTGTGGTGGAAAAAAAGTAACTATCTAACAAGAGACAAAAAAAGAGACTAAGTTTGAATTACAGTAATATATTTTATGTGATTTATGTTTAAATGGATATTAATAATTATCTGAAGAGTATTTTACTAGTATTAACCATAGTGCTTCATAATATTTAAAGTGACACTGTTTGGGAAAGTTTTCTTTTAATTCTCTAGGATACTGGTAGAAATAGCTCTGAACTACCTAAATCAGGATCAACAGTCATCTTCATAGATGTAGGGGATGAAGATGACAATGGTCCAAGTTTTATCAAAGTTTGTCCTGTCACAAGAATCCCTGAGATGGAGAATATTGTGAGTCAATTTCAATTTTTTAACATCCTTCTTGAAACAAAATGTATATTTTTAATTGATATTACATTACTCACCTCTCCACATAAGAAATAGGTAGCACTATGGTGCTGATGCTGAAAACTTTTTATATGTGCTGCAAGTCATTGAATGAACTTTCATCCCTGCACATAATAACATGTACAGTGGTAGTCTATGATGTAATCAAAATTAGGCTATACTCCTCGACCAATAGGAGAGTAACATGACCTCTTTGCACATTACTTCCTTTGAGCACTGTGTAGACATGTTATTTTCTTAAGCCTTTTGTCAAATAAAGGGCATTTTCTACTACACCATGCACCTAAAATTTAAATTGCAATTAATTGCATTTAAAGATTCAAATAAGAATTATTATATTTGTTATATTAATTTTATTTCTTTACATTAACTAAATGACAAGATTTTGGAGAATTGTTCAAAAAAAGACTGTGATATGGTTTCCTTGAAAGAAATATTGCCCACTGCATTGTCATCAACCCTGGACAGGGTTTAGTCAGGTGCTGGTAATCAATCTCAGTTCCACCAAGAGCAAAAATATATATATAAATAGATTCCTTTTAATAATTTTAGTTTCATGGCTCATATTGAATAAGAATTCTTGTATCCAAGTTTTTGAAGCCTTCCAAGGTCCAGACATTTCTCAACAGGAGGTGTATTATTCTATTTCAATGGCAGTTGAAAGTATTCTGATAATAAGCGACGTTATTACCATTGTATATAAAGTGGTTAGCTCTAGCTTGCATTCTTTGTCTTGGACCCAGAATTTGTAGCCTCCTGCTTTTGGAGTTTAATTCTGCTGAGCCTGCCATGTAAATGGATGATTTTGATCAGCTCTTCTTGCAGCCTACTTTTGGTGCTTTCAGTTCTTCTATTCCTGATGAGGATAAAGTAACTTTTACTACTCTCATATCTCGGGTACATGAAATTTTTTCTTTTACTTCAGTTGTTCCTGCTGGTTCACAAGAGAGCTTATCGCATATGCTTCATTACTGGGATTTTTTTTTGTTTACTTCTTTCCTCTCTCTCTCTTTTCTGTCTCAACTTTGTGTCAACTCTCTATTACCTTGACCTTAAGACTTCTTCTCTGTGGTCTATGGGCAGAATTATTCTTGTTTCTTAGAGCTCCAATCATTTCAATCTCTTCCTCGTGGTGGGAACCTTCTTCTCCTACTTTGACTCTCTCTTGCCTTCACTCTGCTTGACTTCTTCTTTTGCTTGCTCAACTTTTTAGCTATCTATCTTCTTTACCTCTTTTTTTGGAGCTTTGTATAATAAATGCAACAACTTTTGTGGAGAATGTCACACTTTCATTTTCTCCAAACTACCTAGATTTCCTCTTCAGCAGTTTCCAACTTGAATTGAATTTTTTGTTTCTGGAATTTACTTGGTTGGGATACTTTTTAGAGTTAGACTTCTCATTTTTATGTTTTATATCTCTGCTTAATGCCCTTCCTTAAAGAAGTTGTTTCTTTATGGGGTTCTTCTTTTTCTGCTTTTTTAATCTGTGGTCTTTTCCAACAGGTCAACTACAAAGGGGCATGGATATGACTAACTTCTAGAGCCTCGTCTTGATTCTGGGCCTGTAGAAGTTTGACTTCTACACTTTGATCACATGTGGACTACTTTTACTACTGAATCCTTTCACAGTTTCAAACTCCATCTGTTTTCACCTAAATTTTTGCACATAGAATGCACTCATGGATGATTGGTTCTTCTTAGCTCTGTCCTAGAAGGCATCCTCTACTATGCATTTTCCTTCTCTGTTGAGAAATTGCTCATTTGAATTAGTTGGCCAGGTTCTGAGTGAGCTCCTTTATGTCTATAAGATATGGAACTTCTGGTTTTCAAGCCTCTAATGTCTCTTTTTTTCATACATGAGAAGTTCTGTCTCTTTTGGGGAGCCTTTACCTCTTTAGAATCCCTCATACTTCTGGATGTGGCAATTTGCAATCCCTTCAAAAGACTCTGGTATATTGGTGGAACATGTACAGTGTTTGATTGATCCAACATTACCCTGGGCATCTCTCTTCCCCCACTTCATGCATACTTGCATCTTTTCGTGGTGTTTGTTTCCTTGGTTGCAGCTCTGGACACTTTTACCATTCCAGTATTTGATCTCCAGAGGGGATATCTTGTCATATCAATGTCGTACATGTGTTGGTAGTTTAATGGGCCTGTGACCATCTTCTGGAAATCATTCCAGGATCTGTTTTGATAACTTCACTGTAATTTCATTCATTACTTGATAAGTTGGTATTTTCTCTTAGCTCTTGCTCTCCTCTTTTGTCACACAAAATCTGGTTGTTGACTTGCCTTGTTTCAGGCCTTTGAATTAGTGGCTGATCAGTTGTATTGTCCAAGCCAGATCCTACCAACAGAATAATCCATTTATATTCTGATATTTCAGTAGATTTGTTCCCATTTTGAGAGTCTTCTTCTCAATGCTTTTTAAACTCTCCTTCAACCAAGTTTCCACTCTTTTGATCACCAATCCCAGACTGCTACTCTAACAGTGGACACTCTGAGTCAGAACTGGTTCAATCTCTTTCTGTATGCCTGCTCTTTTCTTCACCTTCTTCCTAAGGTGCTTTCTAACTTGCAGAACATCTTGTCAGGTTCTTCTCATTGCATAACATTAGCCAACATTACTGGCAACGCTGGAGCTCTTACCTCTTTCAATTTGGAGGTCCCTTTTACATCAGCCTTGTATGTCTATCTTTCACCATGTCATACCTCATTTAATTTTATTTTGTGGTTTTTGACTGGTTCCTCACAAGACAGGCAGATTTCTCTTTCAGAGTTGCATGTTTTCGTATCCTCACTCTTTTTGCCCATACATCCTTGTTTGTAAGCATAAATGTTTTTTTTTTTACACTGGTTCATCTGTCACTCCCTTCTTTCAGGTCATCGGACTCTTCCTTTTTTCATTTCCTTTTTTTTTATCTTGCTTTTAAGAACAAACTATCAGTTTATATAGCTTTGTCAATGACCTTCCACCTTTTACGTAGCTGTTTTCTGTATCTTCAGTTCTTAGAAAGTTCTTTGGAGCCTTTCTAATCTATTGTTCTTCTTGTCCAGTTCATCTTCCATATTGGGGCCTTTGTTTCATTCTCAGGGCTTTAACCAATCCTCTATTCAAACTTTTGGCTGCTTGTTCCATGTACCATCTTTTTATCAAGATGTATTTTCTTTTTCTTCTTTCTTGCAGGCATTGCTCTGATATTTTTGCCTTAGACCCCTCCCACACCCTTTTTCACAGGCACAGGGTGATTTTCTCTCCAGACCACTCCTTCCTTCCCAAAATTTGAGCTGACCAGGAGAGTGGTTGAATGTTTCCTTCAGTAGTCTTTGCTTTAATTTCTTCACTATATGATTGTTGAAACTCCAATCATTTTTGTCCTGAGCCGGCAGTAAGATGTTTGCTCACTTGTACAATTCCCTTTAGAGGCAGTCTAAGTTGTCTTTTCCTGCTGTGGGAATACTCTACTTTTTGGGATTTATCTCCTTCTTTTCACTTTGACTAAGTGGGTCAAGAAACTCATCTGTTGTCTGTTTTTTCATGAGAAAGGACACATTAATGTCTCTTCCCATCAAGCTTGTCATCTTATGGCTTCACCCGAATCCTACTGTCAATATTCCCTGAATAATATTCTGCAGGTGGAGATCATATCAAACACATTTGTGTCACATTATTTACATAACATTTCAGTCTCATCAGCGTTTAGGTTTAATCTTACTCCAGTTGTCATTCTCCAATCTTTCCAGAGTCTCTAAGGTGGATAGTTGTTCATACAACAACAACAACTCAAAAATAACACCCCTCTATCCCAAAACCTGCATCATGTAGGGAATAACAGAAAATATTTTGTTCATACTTGGTTCCCACTGTAGAGATGGGAACCCAGTGCAAGATTGCTTCAGTATTATATACACATTTATATTCAAAGCCGAACTGGATCATAAAAAAAAAAAGAGGGCTAAACAATCACTGAGTAGAAAAGCTCCTGCTGTCCCTTTCCACAGTAGCCTATTGCACAGTTTCTCAGTGGGAAACATTATGCAAATGAAATGATTCCTGTTTAGTCCATGCCTCTCTCTAATTTTCTACTGTATATAAAGTCCTCTTTCTCTTCTGGTGGGGCAGAAGAACCATTGCTTCTATCCCCCTTCCACTCTACTTCTCCACATCTGGTGTTTCTATTTGCTTGGTTAAGAATGGGTTTTTGGTTTACAGAAATGCCTTAATAGGAGTACTGTATAAGAATGTTGTGTCAATCTTCTATTTGATTAAGGTATATAGTCTAACAATGATTGCATTATAGACTATTGCAGTACACATTATTATTATGTGCTGGGACAAGGTCCCCGCCAACAGCATGGCATATATGCAAAAACTTTATAGCATTTGTATTGAGGCACAAGCTGTTTGTTTGGTGGAAAGGTAAATAGTTACTTGAAATACATTTTCAGGTAAGAAAAATGTTAATTTAAAAAGGCTATTTAACCAGAAATATATAGTAAATGAAATAAATTCAAAATAAATTGTTTGTAGTAAACTATTGTATTTGCACTTGATGGATATGCATAAACTAAATATTTTCTTCCAATAATGTAGCTCAGTAGCATTATAAATGAGCACAAACTGTATTTATTAACTCGTTAAAAAACCTCAATCAAACAACACAGTTGCTTTAATGTCTTTTCTGTATTTTAATCGTACATACTACAGGTAAGGTTTTTTTTTTTCCATTTGTACAAATGATATTTTGGCTCTGATAACAGAATATTTAGTATGCTGGGTATCAAGTGCAGAAGGTTGTGATCTGAATTTTTAAGAAACATTAGAGTTTAACCATTTTCATTGAATCTTTTATTCCTTCAGCTAGTGAAAGAAAAAGATGATGTACATAATGATGATGAGCCATTCTAATTAGCAGTGCAATTTATATAAAAACAATGAAGAATACGACAAACATTGTGATTATTATGTGAACTTTGTTTGCAGAATTTCCAAGTTTAAATAGATAAATTAATAGTTAATGATTGTAATAGTTCTAAATTCCAAAAATGTTATTTTTATGATAAATAATCATAGAGAAATAAATCAATTCTTAGTAAAATTTCCACACAGAGAAATAATATATTCTATCTGTTATGTTTATGTAGGGTACATTTGTATTTGATGTGAAAGCAGAAGATGGTGACTATGGAATTAGAAATGATATAAAATATAATATTGGTAAGTATAAAGAATTAAATGGGTAATGCTTGTTTTGAATAAAGGACATCTCTCTATCATTTATTGTTCTGCAGACTACAGATTTTGGCAATTTAGGATAATCCATTCTATTGCATATAGATATTTAGTATTTTGCAAGTAATTTGCTCTTTTTGTTTCTTCATGTCCTATGACATGACTTAAGTTCATGGGTATGGGTGAAATAATTAGTTTTCTTAAAGTTTACTTTGATTACGAATTGTGGAATATTAGTTTGTTGAAAATGAAAAATAAAATGTGTTGAATAGAGTGACATAATTCATAAATTTTAAGGCAGCACTATAAATCTATATTCGTATATATTTTTGTTAAGTGTATTTAGTTTTTTTTATTACTCAATTAAAAAACAACTTACTTATATGGTTATAACAAAAATTCAATAACAACAAGAGAATAGTTTAATCTCTGGGTACATGCATCTAGTCACTGCAAAAAAACAGTAATTTCAAACTCGACTATTTGTCTTTTCAATGTACTTTATATTAATTTAAAGCAACAGAATATCAGAAAAATCAATCCACCAGTTTGTAGTTTTATAGTTCTAAAATGTAACTGACAAATTAAAAATCTGAACTGGACTTTACAGTTTACGCTTATTACCAGGATACTTTTTTCCAGGATATTTGAACAGATTTTTTAGTATTTGATTTTATGAGTAAAATGTGGAGAAAAGATTATTGGAAAAAATGTTAGTATGTGTTACCATTTGTAATAATGTTTAGCTGCACGAATACTTTCTTAAATTTAAAGTAAAAATAAATAACTAACTTGAAATTTTCTTAGTGTTTTATGTTTTATATTAAATAATCAACTGTTCACTCCTATATAAGTCTCCGTCAGTCTAAACAAGTAAGAAACTAATGTATTCTCCATTACAATACAAACAACGAATCTTCAGAGTGCTATTAGGAGTTTTAAGGGTACGTTATTGTACCAGAAGAACCAAGATTAAGTATAGTTAAATCTGTGGGTTGAAATTCAGTAAACTTTGTTATAGTACTATTTTAAATAGAGGAAAAATAGTTAGTGTAGATTGATGAAAACCATAAACAGAGAACTCTATGTTCAGATTCTAATTTTTAGTTATCTTATTTTCAAGGCTTTAAATATGTGATCTGTCAGTATAGGTGTGATCAAAATATTTTCTAATGTCAGTGCTTTCCCTGACTGCAGAATATTAATGAAAGCTATGATATTGGCAGTATACTGGAATTTTTATTTTGTTTTTTCGTTGCAACTACATTATTTTTCTTATATGTTTGCAGATAAAAACTCAAATAAATTTTTTAAAATGTTTTGACTTCACGGTGATTCTTTTCTTTAAATTATTCAGTTTTAGTAAGCCATCACAGATTCTTGTGGATGACATTATTTTCTGTAAATGCTTTAATTTGTACACACTGCTAGAATACTTTCAAGAAATATAACTTGTTTATCTTAATGTATGTTTTTTGTTTTGTTTAATGTGGACCAAAATAATAATCTGCATATAGTAATTACTCTTTTTTTTAATTTGATCTTCTGCTTGTTTTCCGATATGGAAATAGAGCTTACATAAATAGCTTAAATATTTTAAACACCTTGTTACGCCTCCGTTCGTTAGTTAACTTCCCGTATAATTTCTTTCCAATGAAACTTTAGCGACACAAGTCCTTTCTTAAATAAAACTAGTTTATTCTTTCTCAATACAACTTTGAAATTCACTTAATTTCAACGGTCACACTATAAGTTAAACAAACGCTATAATCCACAACGAATGACACACGAGCTCGACCCAACAATATGTCTCTATCTCTGTCTGCAGTTCAATTACATTCCATTGTTGCCATCACTTCTTACCAGTCTTATATACACAAGAATACCGCATATCTTGTAAACGCTCGAGACTTGAGGAACCTTCGAGAATATGATGTGTTACTAGCATCACGTGACCCCCGCTGTCATAACAACCTGAAATAAATTAACTAACCTTTCTCCATCCAAGAAAACATACTTAAGTCTTTATTCCTTTCCTTATAGCTTAATTTTTTAAACTGGGCATCATTCAAGAAGCCTTCTTCTGCTTTTTTCAAGTATGAATACCTCATCACAAAAATTCTTTGAATGGGCTTCACTGCAAAGCTTAACATTTCAAACAAACAGTCAAAGATTCCAAGCATTTATCAATAATTAAAACTAAACCCTTAATTTTTCCACAACTCAGTTCTCCTTTTACCCAAGAGCACATGTTAGACTCTTGTAAAGTTCCATCTACTAAGCACATAACTGTAAATTCTTAAATTTTGAAACTCATTTTCAATGTTTTTGTCCACTCATTCAGATTTCTATCACAGAAAGCAGCTCTTTACTAGCATCATTGGTGAATTTGGAAGTATTTTTACTTAATTAGAAATTTTCAAGTTGTTGAGCTAAATATTGAACAATAAATGTTCCAAAACAGACCTTCGAAACTTATCTCTTTTGTTGCTTTCGTCTATTATTTCGTCTATTTCATCTGTTTACTGCTACTTTCTGTTTTCTACAAATAAAACAGTAATCTGTTCTTTTTCTAACTTTTCCATTAATTCTGAATGCATCTAACTTAACAATAAACTTTTCTGAGAAGCTTGCTGAAACACAAGATAAAAAAAACAAAAACTAAGCTAGTAAGACAGGAAAACAATCATGCTGAGTATCAAACAGGTTTGATTATTCAGATCTTTCTTCAGTCGCCAATTTATAAAAACTGTGGACTGTATTTATAATCTACCAATCACCATGTATTTCTCTAATGCCAAGCAACTTTAGGAATATAATGGTTAAAGTGCCTACCATATCTTGGCTTTAAGAATATATTCGTTAGAAATATTAGTTTTACTCTCAAGTGGTTTCTGAAGTATCTTTAAGCTATAGATTTTATGGAAAGCTCTTCTCCACCTTTAAACAGAGCATCTCTTTTTTTATTCTTTAATTAGTGAAAAACAATCTTTCAACAGCAAAATCATGATCTTTTAGCAAATAACTTGGATATGTTAAGAACAGTTACCCAGTGGCTCTGCACTATATAATCATAGATAGATGATTGCAAGTTTGGGGCTGAGTCACATCATGCTGTTATGTTCTTGAGCATGTTCCAGTTTAACCACCTGTATGATGGGTACCAGATGTTAACTGGGGATTAACCTGTGATGGACTGGCATCCTGTCCAGAGGATTTACTAATCTCATAGTGTAGTGACATTTATAACTACAATATAAAAATCAAAACCAGTTATTAAACTATTTTGAATGGACATTATAGTTAGGAGTCAGCAACTGGTCTGTAGGTGGATTCATCCACAACAGGAATTGTCCACATCTGTGACTTATCTTCTTATTATCATAGTAGTGTAGTTTACACTACAAAATAGTGATTCACTGATATTTATTTTCCTTGTTTACTGATTGGTGAAAATGGGACATTAAATCTTGACTCTTCTATCAAGTAATTTGGGATTTTGATAACTATATGATACATTAGGCTTAGATATTTGTGTTTTTAATCCATTTGTCCAATTAGAGGAACAAGGAAAGAATTTTCTTTTAAATTTGATATTGAAACCATAGAGGTCACTAGCTATCAAATATCAGCTAACACCTCATGGGAAAAGGAGTACTTTGTGTTTGAGAGAGCAGATGAGAATTACTAATCTTTTATAGATGTGTCTGTGATGGAATTGTAACTATTTCAAAAATTGTCTTTCATTTGTACCTACAATGTCAACCAGTGTTCACAGCTGACATTCAGTTCTAATCATTTTCCAATTACAGGAAGAATATGAACTATTCATGTTGTTAGTATTTCTAGAATAATATTTTACTTTTTTTATATTCCAGAGCAGGGGTGAAATTCTGCCAATAATCTCACTGGTAATGAGTACCAGGATGTATTTTTTATTATGGTACTGGTACCAGGATTTAATTGAGCTGTTTTGTCATTTTTTATGTTTGCACGTAGAAATTTTCATAAACCAGTCCACTTCACCCAGCTGAGTACTTCTACTTTTTTGTTTGAGAATTACCCCCCACCCTGTTTCATATCAATTTGTATGGTATGAACTTGTATTGCTCAATCTTATGAGCCACAAACTGCTAGGCTTGTAATGTGCAAATATATATATACTTTGTAATTGATTTTGTTATTCAGTTTTAACTCATTGTAGAGGTTTACCTTTTAGCATTAAAGAACAAGCTGTGTTTAGCCTGCCACAGAATTCAAGACAACCTAATCTTAAGTTTGCTGTCACATTTAGTTTGTCCCCTTGTGGGATAGCAGTAAAATCAGGGGTTTGATTTCCCTCAGAGGACATAGCAGATAACCTGATGTGACTTTGCTATAAAACAAACAAACATATTTAGTTAGATAAGTAACACTACTCACATATTATTCTTTGGCATTACTGGAATTTTATTTTAGTCTTAGTAAGACTAAATTTTGTGGTCTACTTGATCATACTATACAAAGTACATAAAACGTCCCCACTAATAGTTTTTATGATTAATTCATTAACCTTTTAACAATATTACTTTAATCAATAACTGAAGTCTCAATATTATAAATACTATTACTAATTATTAAATAACATTTATGAGGAAGAATATTTACTATAATAGAAATACAAATTAGTAAGAATTTTCATGACACCAGTTTTTGTAGAAACATGATCAATAGCTTACATGTACAAATGAAGTCACATGTTGTCACTTCAAGCTCTAAGCTACTAGCTTATCAAAGTAGTGGGAGTACAAAATGAAGATTCAGTTAAGTGCATGATCTACATTTCTTAACATTAAGAACAAAAAAAAACCTTCAAATTTCAAATATAAAACCAATGCTGGACATCCAGCTAACAGCACAACTGCATCTCAAACTATGATAAAATTCATCAAACAATCAAAACTCTCTTGAGTTACATGTATCAGATAATAAAAAGATAACCACCATATGAGTATTTATAAATTAGCTCAATATTAGAAAGTTAGAGACGAGAAAGTAGAAATTTGAATAGATGGGAACATGAATAAAGTTATACTCAAAGAATTGTTATGTCATGTTCTGCATTCTTGTGATAAATAAATTCTATAAGTAAGAAAATTATCATATCTATCTAGAAACGTCAAGCACTGCAGCAGAATTCTTTAAAATCAGTGATGACGGAGATGTTTCTGTTAAGAAGAAAATCAATCGTGAAGATCCAAACCTAAAATTGATAAGTAGTCCAATGTTGGTTCTCCCTATAAAGGTAAGGTTTCCCATGTTTTAAGATGTATCGGGTGATTCAAAAGTCACTTTTGATGCTTAACAATTTTGTACATTGTCTTCTGCATGGTTAAGTTGTTCTACACACTAGATTTCACAACATTGTAAACATCAGTTTCCTTAAGATAGTTGTCTTGAAAGTGGAAGTGTCTTTTGAAACATCTGGTATTTTACTTTCATAAATGTAATTAATGATTTTTTTATCTTAATGTTTTGCATTAGCTTTGTAAATTGATTATTATACAAATATATTATCATACAATGATTTTATTGATTTTTTGAGATCTAACTGTTGGTAATACTTGTTGCATTTCTGTTCTAAGATGAAAACTGCATGTGTATGAGAAAATAGATTTTTAAGTGTTTCACGCTTAATGTATAATAATACTAATCATTTTTCTCAGTCTTTTTTGTTGCATGAATCAAATGCTACACAAACTAGCCAAAAATTACAAATTAAATGAAGAGTAAAGAAAAATGTTTAAATGTTTAAACAAATACGCACTTTGACATTGTTTATTAAATGATATATTTATGTAGTATAGATCTAAACCATGGTTTCCTGCAGTAGAATCAAATTTATAATTGCTGCAACACTTGTAAAGGTTTTAGCCATTATTCGAATCATGACTTATTTAATCATCCACAGCAGCTATCTATGGTGACTTTACTCATTTCAGGATATAAATATGATGTGTAGGGTTTTGCTGTTACTGTTCTATAGCTATCTTTTTGCGGGGCATTTTAATATTGAAAATGCATGTAGTCCAGTTTAGACTACACAGGGTTTGATGTGGTTAATTTGCACGGGATGATCTATAATAACTCTTTATGAATGTTGAATTTCCTGTAAATATATACTTCAGAACATTATTGTATCGCTGCATTTATTCATGAACAAATTATTCAGGACTATTTTATATATTCTCCGTTGTTCTGGTTAACTATCTAATTATAATTTTTGAAGGCAACAGAATGGCAAAATGGAAGTGAAGTACACAACAGATCAATAGAAATTAAGTGTACCATTATCATTGAAGATATTAATGACAATCCTCCAGAGTTTAATAACAAAAACTATAATGCTGTTGTCCGAGAAAACACACAGAAAAATATTCCTGTTGAATTCCAAGATGAGTCATTTGTAAAAGACCTCGATATGGTAAGTTATATAGTGTTTTTGATCCCAGATATTATGTAATTGTGTTATAAAGTATTTAAAAAACAATGGATATTTTACTCTATAATTAAACCGATGAATAAGATAAAACAAATTTTAGGTGATACTAAAGATAATATACAGTTAATGGAAAGAGCTGGAATTTATAAAATTGAATGTGAATGTGGAAGTGTTTATATTGGACAGAAAAAAACGTAATTGAAAATATCATTTAGCAGAACATAAGGGATGTGTAGAAAATGAAAGAACTGAAAATTCAGCCATTACAGAACATGTACAAAATCAGAAGATAAAATATTATGGGGAAAAAACAGTAATATTAGCTCGACCTAAGAGCAAATAATATTCATGAATATTTAGAAATAATAAAGTTTAAAAAAGATCACAAGTTATTGAATAGAGATGAAGGTCTGGCAATTATCTGTGTAAGAATGTGGCTTGGCCTCCTCAGGCTTACACGCAAGTCACATGACCTATCTAAGAATGAATAAATATGACACTTATGTCTTGCACATTCACTCTTGATGATGATATGGTAAACGTTGAAGCATGTAAAGCTCACATTTTATAAGCCATATACTGGCCTGAATTAAAAATGTTTTTAATTGTGTATCGATTCTAATGTTGGTGTTTATTATTTTATATTAGGCAGTTTCAGAAATATGGTATAAAGTATGTAACCAACAAATGAATTTTTATTATATATTGTGATGGTAATTACATTTCAAAATAGAAGCATTGTTATATGTGATATACTGATAAATAATAATATCGCACTGTGATTTGACTGGATAATAGGTGCTTACACTACACCTAGGATTTCGAATCATCAACAAATTTAACATTAAACATAAAACTCTTCCATATGAATGTACATTGGGAACACAATGCTGCAACAGGAGCATTATTTATTTTTATTAGACCAGTCTTTTAAAGTAAAATACTGGTGATACAGTGCTGACATTTTCTGAAAGTGTTTCATATACGTAGTTTTGCTGATTATATTGTATATTGAAGTACATTATGCACATATGGAACTAGTTGAATAAAGTATAAGCATAAAGAATAAAGTATTAGCCCATTTTAGTTTCAACACTGTTTATAAATTTGTGAATTTAATGTTTTCTTTCATGAACCTACTCAAGGGAATTTTCTTCCAGAATTCTTGTTGTCATTTTGTTGTTTGTTACAGTTTATCAATAAATTTGTCATAATCATTTCTCTGTGAGACTTGTTGCATAAAATAAAGAAGTTGGTGGCTTTTCTAATGTACATCACTGGAAGAAATGAAGCCTAGCAGATATATATGAATGTTATACCTTGAGTAAAAAGAGCTGATAAAATAGATATTTATAATAATTACATATGATAAACAAATTGCTCTTAAAATTACCAGCACATGGAATGGTCAAATTAGACTAATACCACTGTGATCTTGATCCTATTTCTTCTACAAGGGTACTTATTGCTTTTCTTTTGTTATTAAAACTATAATGACTATAAATTATTTCACTATAATTTTAACAAATTTAAGAAATGAAGTACAAATGACATATCATTAAGATTTATATGTGAAATTTCTTATTTCTCGTACATTTGCACTTACTGTTTCTTAATAATCTGAATGTACTGTCTTGAATGTAGTTATTTTATCAGTAATTGTATGTATGTGATTACTACTGAAGTATTGAAATATTGGGTATGTAATTTAATACAATTAAAACATTTTTCATTATGTGAAGTAAATGAAACTTGCTTTTGTTGCAGACAATTTTGTTACAGTTGAATTTTTAATTTGAAAAGCCTAGAAGTATACATCAATGAATAGTATATACAGTTCAGATGTAAACAGAAAAAAAGCTTGATAGTTTGTTTAAAATATTTTCTTTTACAGGATGTCAAATTATGAAATTCTCATTTCATTTTTTATATTTTTTACATGACTTTTATAAATACTTAATCCTTGTTTCTTTTGAAAACTCTTAACTAATTTTTAAAACAATGATTTTTAAATATATTATACTAACTGGTATCTATTGCTTTTGCTTATTTCTGTCTTGTTTAGGGTGATAATGCTAAATTTAGTCTCAAGTTGTCACAAGAAGATAACATATTTGAGGTTACACCATCTTCAGGGATGAACAAACTTCCTTTCCTCATTCGTGTTAAAGATCCTTCTAAGCTTAAGTATGATTGCTCAAAAGAATGTACAGAAAAAGTTTTTAATTTGCAAGTAAGTATTTATACAAATAAGTTGCTCTATATCTAAGAAAATAACTTTTTTTATGGCTGGGAATGGGACCAATTTTTCAGTCTTAAAAGTAATTGTTGTAAAATAAAGTATTAATTTAATAATTATGTTTTTTTGTCATAACACAATAGTTATGAATTGGTGATAACATATGTTTTATATTAACATATGACTTTGCAAGGGAATTTTTAAAGTAACAAACCCCCACACACACAGTTGAAATATTAATGTCTATATAAAGAATAATGGGAAGTGACTTGAAATGTTCCCAAGTTTTTCAGGCAGGTTAGTTTTTTTGGTGAACACATCCTTGATTATTTCACTATGTAGCCCTAGGTATTGAGGAAAGAGGATCACTGATGGAGTGTTTGAGTTGTTCAACAGTTTCATTATGGTTGTCCCTAGCCCCTTTAATCTTACTTTAAAAAGTATTATAATGTTCTTAAATGATTACTCACCCCTCACATAGTTTAGCTATCTTCCTCATGCATTATGCCACTAGCTTGTGAAAACTCCCAACTAATTTCATGTGATTTCAAGTGAATCTGTGCTACTGCATGATGGTGTTATCATGCAGCAAAAGCTCTTCACCAATAGAAGGAAAATGAACCTGTGTATGCACTAACTTCCTCTATGCATTTTCACTCGTGAATTTTCATTCATTTCCTTGAAACTGTATGGAATAGATGTGTTTAAATTTCTGATCTGTGTTCAACTTAATGAGCTTTGCATTGTTAACTAAACTTTGTTTTTCACTTTATTTAGCTTTTGTTTCAAAAGCTTTAATATTTTATCATGCCTTCTCGAGTAACGGTGATTTATAATTAGACCTGGGTGTGTGTCATTATGCACACTTAGGCCTTATTTATGCTGTGGCTCTTGGAGGCCTGTCATCTTTTAAGGTTGTTGCAGCCATTGTTTAGTGTGTTACCACATACTTACTGGGTCTCCTACTTATGTCTCATAACCTGAATTTCCTGCTCCTCAGTTAGGAATGATATATTAGACTACATCCTTCACCTACTTTGCTTTAGGTAGTACTCTACCATTTATTAAACTACCTAAACCTTTTCATCTCTTTACTGGTATGTACCTTTCATTTTCTTTTACCCTAAGGTCTGCATGGTCTAGTGATTATGGTGCTTGACTCTCTATCTGTGTGTTGTTGGTTCGAATCCTCATCACCAACAACCATCATAGCTCTTTCAACTGTGGGGGTTTTATAGTGTAATGGTCAATCCTACTATTTGTTCCTAAAAGAGTAGTCCAAGATTTGGAGATGGTTTTATTGACTAGCTGCCTTCCTTCTAATCTTTCACTGCTAAATTAGGAACACCTACCACAGATAACCCTCGAGTAGCTTTGGCAAAATTTAAACCAAACCAATCTTTTGCCTGTATTCTCTGTTATTTTTGTTTTCTCTCTTTGTAACTCACAATTTTTGGGATTATCTTGTTTTTTTCTTTTGGCCTGTTACTAGTATTTGTACTGTTTCCTTTCTTTAATAGCTTCTTATTGTCCTTCCACTCTATTGTCTATGATCATCAATGGTGGGTCTGATGTCATTGGTCTTTCTGACACCCATTTCCTCTAGGCAATAATTCTGTGCACCACCTTTTTATCCTTCTTGCTAGCCTGTTCATCAATGAATTCTTGGTCTTAGTCATTCCTAGCTGTCAGGTGGCCATGTCCATAGCCTTTTTTCTTTCCTTGTACCAACACGTTTCTTACCCTCTCTTCTTCCTTCTTTTCCACTCTGACTGAGGTTTTGTTTGATCTCGGCATGCCACATTTGAGCTATTGACTTCCTGATTTCTTCTTTTCTATGATTACCATTGTTCTGATGTCTATGCTCAAGATGCTTCTTGCATTCTCATCCACTACAGTTCTTCTTTTCTCTCCCTGGACCAGTACTTTCTTCCTCAGACTTTGAATGCACAGGGGGTAAGCTGTACTTCACTCATATCTCTGTTCCTTCCATCTGTGTACTTAATGAACTGCTTAGGCCTGTCTCGGTTCCTGTCCCCTATTGGACAGATTGTATTACCTTTTCATGGACCTCTTACCTTAAGAGTTCCTGTATTCTTTTGTCCCTATTCTGGGACCCCTATTTTCCATGTACCTCATTCCTTCTTCCTTTCCAAGATGAGTTCATTGACTCCTCAGTTGACATGCTCTTCTCAGGATGCTATGTTCTCTTTCTACTTATCACCCTTTTTCATTCTCTTCCACCTTCTAAACTAGCCACCCCTTGGACAAGCTTTTCCAGGGAGACATGTGGACTCTTTTCACAAAAATATCTCCATCTCTATACCTTCCAGCTGTTTTATCTGTTAATGGCATTTCAACAGGTCACCATTTTTCCATTGCCATTTCCTTTTCAGAACCCCCTTTTTCATTCATTAGCATCCCACTAGGCTGCTAGTGTTGCCCCCAGGGTACACTTATCCAAGATCCATATTGAGCCAGAATAACAGAAAGCACTCATACCACTTGCCCTGGCTGTAAAAAAAAAAAAACAGCCCCAGACCAATGCTTCTTCCCTCTCAGGAGAAAAGTAATTGCTCTTAAAATTGCTTGGCATGCTTCATTCAAGCTAGTAACTTCCTGTAAATTGACTTTATAAATTAGGATGTTGAGTGGAGAACAGGAGATTCTTACCACTTACCAGCTCCTAGCTGTTGAGGTGAGGTGTTAGACTACAGAGAATTCTCACCAATGGGGTTAGAACAAGAAGTACCATTACTATGAGAATTGGGGCTGTGGTGACACCAAGAATGTAGTGTGAATCACCACATATAATTATGATGCATTATACATCACAAGCTATATATATGGACCAATGATATGTATTACAGTGCCCTCCTCCTACAGATCATCTACCCAATAATATCTGTCCAGTTGATTAGAGGTGAGCACTCACTATACCAATCCATTAAATACCTATACCTCACAAGCCCTCCTTATGCAGCCAGTGTCTGTTCAGAAAAGGCGAAGTGAACACATATTAATGGTCCCTACTACATAACAAAGATAAAGATGCCTTCCTCCTGCAGCTGGAGTGGGGCTCAAATGGTCTGATGGTAGTATCTCTTGTAGCTGACATGGGTCCCATAGAGACTGATGGTTAAGTAGAGGTGTGTATATATATATATATATATATATATGTGTGTGTGTGTGTCCATAGTACAACAATGTAA